CTGAGCCCTGCGTCTCTCTCCCCTCCATGGGAGCAGTTGCCTACATCGTGGACCTGGACAGCGACACGGCAGACAAGTACCTGCAGCTGTTTGGAACCAAAGGTGTAAAGAGGGTGCTGTGTCCCATCAACTACCCCGAGTCACCCACTCGCTTCACCCACTGCGAGCAGGTGCTGGGTGAGGGTGCCCTGGACCGGGGCACCTACTATTGGGAGGTAGAGATCATCGAAGGCTGGGTCAGCGTGGGGGTCATGGCCGAAGACTTCTCCCCACAAGAGCCCTATGACCGGGGCCGGCTCGGCCGCAATGCCCACTCCTGCTGCCTGCAGTGGAACGGACGCAGCTTCTCCGTCTGGTTCCACGGGCTGGAGGCACCCCTGCCCCACCCATTCTCGCCCACCGTCGGGATCTGCCTAGAATATGCCGACCGAGCCCTGGCCTTCTATGCTGTGCGGGATGGCAAGATGAACCTTCTTCGGAGGTTGAAGGCCTCCCGGGCCCGCCGGAGCAGCTCCCTGTCCTCCTCCATTGACCCCTTCCAAAGCCGCCTGGACAGCCATTTTGCAGGGCTCTTCACTCGCAGGCTAAAGCCTGCCTTCTTCCTGGAGAGTGTGGACGCCCATCTGCAGATGGGGCCCCTGAAGAAATCCTGCATATCTGTGCTGAAGAGGAGGTGATGCAGGGGGGCATGGGGCCTCCTGCCGTGTCCCAGCTCCTGGGAAGCTTGCTTCTCTGCACCCCCATCTTGCCCCAGTGAACGCACCTTGGGGTCCCCCACATCCCCAGACTTCTCCTCCCTGGAGGCCTCACCTTCCGTATACTTGGCCTTCCCCCCAGGCCCCTGGAAGTGTCCTCAGACCCTGTCTCCCTATGGGCCTTGTTTCTGGGACAGAAAGCCAGAGCTGGGACAGATCCAGGCTACCCCAACCCTTCTTTTTCCACGTTCCTAGGACAGTGCCTGGCACATAATAGGTGCTGAATAAACATGTGTTGAATGAATGACTCCTTTCTCTGTCCTTCTCTCCACCCACCGAGAATTCCTAGGACTTTTCATCTTTCGAGAGCTGGTCTTGAATGGCAAGGGGCCAGTGTTCCTGTTGGTGGGGAGAGCCCTGGCCCAGCAGGAGGGGCAGCCGACTCCCTAGTTCTGGGCAGGGGCAGCTAGAGGTGGCTTCTTCTGAGGGGG